TACTACTACTACTACTACTCCACAAATGAGTATTGCTGACGCGGGCTGAATAAGCCTTACTAGGGCTTGTTGGGCTTGTTGGGCGTGTGAGGGCCTGATGGATCTTTTCCATGAAATTGGGAACAAGCCTTGCAAAGCTGAAACCTGAGCCTCAATCCAGGACTATCCCGAAAACCAAGCCAGCCACTATCAGGCCTTACAGCAGCTTTCATGGAGCTTCATGCCAACAATCAGGCGAAAGTTAGGTAACGTGAAAAGCCTTATTCTTATTCTCAATGGGTCTTTATGAGCTTGGCCGGGTGCTTCTGCGCTCGGCTGCAACTTTGCCTTCCAAACCCTCCTTTTGGAAGCCAATGACATCCTTACTGGTTTGGGCGGGTCTCCGTCTGGGGCGGATGATACTGACGAGGATCTTTTGGTAAACTTTAAGCTGCAACCCGACAGTCTGAGACGGCGCATGCATGCATTGTTTGCAGGGATTTGACTTCAGGACAGCCTTCTCAGCCTGCTCCAAGTAGTCCTCACTTTCTGGCGGTTTGGAACTCGGCTGTAGTGTCGAGGTGGACGTACCAGTCATTGTCGCCGACGTGTTGACCACCGCGGTCGCTGTCGGTGTGGCAACTGGCTCTGCCTGCTCTGCAGCTTCAGCCTCCTTCCCGTCCTTCCTGGGAGAATCTTCTTTCTCAGCTCTGGCTGCAACCTCCGGCACCCTACGCAGATCATCCCGCACGGCACGGCCAGTGCTGGGACTCCTCTTGCCTCGAGACCGTTGACTTCTGGATCTTCTGCGCTGTTTCCTGCTCGGAGATCTCTTACCGCTACGAGATCTTCTCTTCATAGATCTGCGCTTTGGCGACCGCCGATTTCTGGACCTGCCGCTTCGAGACCTCCTGCATCGCTGAGTCGATCTACGCTCTGGCGAGGTTCTCCTGTCTCTGGTGTCGCGCTTCTCTCGCTTGTCCTTGTCCTTCTTGTCATCTTTCTCTAGTGGTTCCCTCCGCTTGCCCTCATTGGCACGTGGAGCCCGTGCAGAATCACCTCTCCTGGTCCGCCTTATTGGCGAAGGGTCACGCCGTGGTGATCGTTTATCTGCACTTCTCGCCCGTCTCCTTGGCAGGGCTTCGTCCTTGACTCTTGCCATGCTTCTTTCCCTCTCCCTACCATCCCCGCCGTCCCTACCAGCCTTCCGGCGAGGCAGGGGCCTTCGGCTGCAAGTTCGGGATCGGGGCCGCGCTCTGCTGCCATCTCCTAAAGCTGGAGGTGCATCGCCTCGCTTTTCAGTGGCTCGCTCAGAGGAGCTGTCAGGAGGTCGTTTGCCCGAATGCTTCTTTTTCTTGTGCTTCTTTTCTTTTTTCCGTGGTGCACTACCCGAAGACCCACGCCGCTTCACATCCTTCTTCTCCACGAGCTTGATTGCGGACACGTTCTCCGAAATGTCAGGGCTCGAGGATCTCCGAGCTGCCTTCTTGCCATCAGTTTGCTGAGTCCTGCTTTCATCTTCTGCCTCCTCGCTTTCGATCTCCCCTTCCTCCGGCTCGACTTGATCTCCAGCTGGTTCCTCTTCTTGCTCCTCCTGCTCCTCCTGCTCCTCCTCCTCCTGCTCCTCTTCTGCTTGCTCCTCTGATTGCTCTTCCTGCTCTTCCTCCGACTCGGCCTCCCCCGACTCATTCTCAACACCTTTCTTGTCACCAGCTTCTTCCTCTTCGCTACTCTGCCGTCCTTTTGCCTGCTCATCCGCTTTGTCGTTCTCTTCAGATGCTTCCCCTTCTTCAATCTGCTCATTGTCCTCCTCCTCCTCCTCCTCCTTCTCGCTCCTCTCCTCCTTCTGCTCGTCCTTACTGTCTTCTCTCTCTTCGCCTCGCTGTCTCTTGTCCACTGAAACTCCAGAGTTGGCTTCAGGATGCTCTTCATCCTGATCGACACAGATTTTGGCAACTCTTTCTGAGCACGTAAACGATTGCTTCGGAGAGTCCTCGGATGCCTCATCAGCAAAGGCCGCAGACTGCATGGACCTGAATGCTGAGTTGGCACCGCAAGTGTGGGCAAACTGCCTGAAGATGCATCAGGCATGCTCGTCCGGCAGTTCTGGCACCGTGGACCCCAGCAGGGGCTCCGAGTCGCCACCCTGCACATCGCCCAGGAAGCAAGCTTTACTTGGAAGATTCACTTTGGTCGCCGGCCTTTAGCCTATCCTTTCGACGGCGTTTCGTTGACTTGCCTTTGGCACGACGCTTAAAATCAGAACATACGTCGTCCGACGTGGATCAAGCTTGGACCCCGGCGTCGAAGTGGCTTGTGGAGGACCGCGACGAGACCTTTCTAAACCGGTGACCACTTATTCCAAACTGGGTCGATAGTAAAACATGCTTGGAACAACGCCATGCTGTACAAATTCCGCGTATCTGGTCGTCCTCAAGCAGACGCACACGCAAAGACGTGCACACGCACGCGCACACACACACACACATATATATATATATCAGTTTACACGATCTCCACCACTCGCACACCTCGCTGAACAGCCCTGGATCGCAGACTTCTTTTTCCTCGCGATCGAGACGTGGGACGTGATCGCGTCATAGATCGGATCATCAAA